TAACCAAAGTTGTATGAGAAAGTGGCGGAGAATGAATGTGTGAGTCAACGTACGAAAGATATTGATGTCAAATATCATTTTGTAAGAAATGAAGTAAAGAATGGTAACGTATGTATTATGTACTGCCCTGCCAAGGAAATGGTAGCAGACATTTTAACAAAACCAGTGTGTACTGGAAAACACGTTAAATGTTCTAGACAACTTGGACTCAATGACTGTAAGCAAAATGGGACAAATCATTGAGGGGGAGTGTTAAATTTCTCTCCTGTCATTACCCATGTGTAACAATGATTTGTGTTATATAAACTTTTGTATTTGTATTGTGTAGCAACGCTTCGTGTCATATAATTATTGTATTATTTTTTATAATAAATAAACGGCCATGACGTGGCATCTTTTATCAAGCCCGCTACTTTTTTAGTTCGATATGACTTGAAACGGATCAAAGTAGTTCTGTATGATTTTTTAAACTTGTAAGGTATCCTACTCACTATCTGTGAACACATAACTTGCAACAGTGATATATTTAACAAGTAATATGCTAAATAACCTCTATATCCTATTTGAAAACACACTATTCTCAAAACATTAATGAACATATAATTAAAATCAAGTATTATTGAAAAACAATGTGTTCTAAAATAACTCATACCATGATTCCTAGAGTCAGTGTTGGATTAAGACCACTTTTCATTGATCATCTTTCCTAAGAACAATATTAGTTTATTTAATATCCTTAAATTTTATTTAATGAAAATATTCAAATTGCATTAAAAAGATAGAGCCTACATATATTATCATTACTGAAGTTTATTAAGAAACAAAAATTTTTAAATAAAATTTCTACCAGTACATCAATAGAAACTAACTGCATTGAATTAGAATTATTGGAGCATGTCATCATTTTAATTCAACATAACAAAGTTTAAATAACATAAGTAAACCTTTACACTTTTCAATAAATAAGAGAAGTATATAAAAACAAGCTCATTCATCAAAACAGAATTCTTATTTAAACTATAATAATAGAGCGAGACATTCTTATTTACATTTTTATAAAATCAAGTTCATTTGTAACTATTGAAAATGTTCAATACATCCCAATAAACTAAAAATACAAGAATGTACAAAAGCAAAATAAATATTTTATTTTTATACTGTACATTTTAAATACAAAAAAAAAAATTTGTAATGCTGCATTTGTTTAAATAAAAGAATTTTTAATCAAAGTTTATCATTTTATCATCATCAAAAATAAGATTGGTAAAATTCTCAATTTGTAATGTTGCATTTGTTTAAATAAAAGAATTTTTAATCAAAGTTTATCATTTTATCATCATCAAAAATAAGATTGGTAAAATTCTCAAAATTAACTTGTATAATAACTTAAATAGATAATAGGTAATGTATAAATTATAGTACATATTTCTTAGACATATGATTTTTATATAAAACAAGACTCAGAAAGGCAAAAAAATACATTTAATATAATTTTATGACACAAACTTCAGTTAAGTAATAGTTTGTCATGCTCTATATATCTGAACTATTTGGGACACTTTTTCCAATGTTGTAATGGGCTTCTGCATTTATTTAGGATTCATGATATAATATGTCACCATTTTTATCAGAAAAATATAGGATTAAAATCAACAGCATGGTTAAATAAAAATGGTTGTAAAGATCCAAAACTTCAGCCATAACTGTTTCAAAAACATTTTAAATTTAAGAAATTCAACTTCTTTATCAAAAAAATTGTTTTTTTTAAGCAGTTCAGTATTAATAAAATGCAGATCACCATTGAAGAACATCAGCTAAAATATAAACCTAGACTTATTGTATAAACCAGAGATGGTTTATACCAGACATGGGCAAATGCGGCTCTTTTTGAGTTACATGCGGCTCTTGCTGAAAGTGTTAATTTCTGTTTTTTATTATTATTTTTACAATTTTATTTCCACAATTTTGTGAAAATATGTTTATTAAAAAAATTCAATATTTGTTTTATATTATATTTATATTATATAATAAAATTGCGTCACAGAACTGCAGTACAGAGTAAAAAAGTACAGAACTGCAGCTCCCATGCATTTTGCAAATTCTACATTTCGGCTCCCACTGATCTCTTGCTTGCCCACCCCTGGTTTATATCAATACAATAAAGAGGAAAAATCTTTTTAATTGGAAGACCACATCCCATTTCAGAAGAAACTCATAAGGCCACACAATGTATTGCAGGTTTCGTAAGTGTTCACACACATTTAGTATACATAAATTGTTCTTTAGATACCTTTACTGAAAAAGAAAACAGACAAATGTATTTTCACAACTAATAAATTTAATTCTGCCATCATAAATTTTAGATTGTATAAGGTTGCACTAGAAACCACAGAAGGCCACAGGTTTCTCATCCTGTCACAACTTTCCCAAATTTGTTAGAAGACTTCCAGAATTTGCCAAGAATTTTTAAATTCTCAGACTTCTGAACAAAAGATATTTTCCTCCCATATTTACTCAATCAACTTTGGGTTTATATTAAACACACTAAAGGGACAGCATTTTGATTTTGCAGAGAGTAAAAAATGTCAAATCTATACTTTTTATTCTTCGAAAACTCCCAGAATCAACTCTTGGAAGTTAGAGAGAGACATTATAAGCCTGGCCACCTTTTTTTTGTTTTTTCTTTCTTTTCGAGTGGATTAAGATTAGGAAAAGTGGATTAACATTCCACCTGTAACAAACTACTTTTTGGATTAAAGCTTGGTTCATTACACCAGGGTCTTCAAAGTGGCCAATATCAACCTGCAGGGGTTGATAGGTTATTTTAGAGGGTCAATTGAAAACAGTTCATTAAAAATAATTATTGATATTACAATTTGGGATACTTTACAGCAATTTGCACAATGTAAGTAGATCTTTCCTATGAAAACTGTCTGGATTAAAGCCAAGTAGAAAAACCATTGGTATGAAGATATGTCTGTGTAAAGCATTGCCTCATTGGATTTATTTATTATTAACTGTATTAGCAAAACAGAATAGAGAAGTCATTAAAATGTCAAGGAATACTTGAAGGAGTCAACAGTCAAAAAATTTGAGCACCCTTGCTTTACGCAGACATATCTCCATAACAATAGTTTTTCTACTTGGCTTTATAACACCCAAGTACACCCCACCCAGAGAATCTCACAAAACCTCCAAAAACTTGTTGTGATACCCAGAGTCACAAGCTTCTAGATACATCTTGAGAATCCCTGGTCAACTTCTAGAGCAGTGGTTCTCAAACTTTTTTAGGATTTCTTGTGTGATGATCTCTTTACAATTATTAAATTGCTGGCGGTCCCTTTAAAATTAACTACAATTAACATATAGGTTAATGTTACCAAAATATTTTTTGACAAAATTATTTATTCAAAAAACAGCAAATCTTTGTTATCAAATGTACATTCAATGGAATGGGTGCATCTGCTTTGTCTGAAGGACCCCTTCACAGTCCCTAGTTTGAGAACCACTGTTCTAGAGGCATCATGAGTGTCCCTGACCAGTGTCACAAACACCAAAGCAAGCCAGTTGGGGTACCAACTTCAAAAACAGTTTAAAATTCTAACGTGTGAAGCAGTAATTTTCAGTTTTTGAGTAATTGAAGGGTGTATATCATTACCTGTATGTTAATATAAGCAATTGGATACATAAAACTTAAAATTCCCAATTAAAAATAATAATTTATTACTTAAAATTGTAAAATTATTACAAGTAAAAAAAAGAAAAAGCAAAAATTACTTCAGAATGATTTCCCTTAAACTTTTAAAGTATTTAATTAAATAAACTATTTAAAGTATACCTAGGTAACCCCCAATGGCGACGCTTCCTTTAGGTTAGGTTAGATATTTTAACTCAGGGGACCGAGACAGGTTCAACGGTACCCTACTTTTGGACCGGAGACCAAAAATAAGAAAGTTATCATACTTTTTTCCGGCGATCGCGCGATGATCGGGAGTCGCGTCGCTCTCTCCGCTAAGCCTATCGCGTGCTTAACAGGCAGTCCGGCAAGTCGGCATATATACCTTCAACAGAGGCATATATACCTTCAACAGAGGCAGATGTTGATCCACGAGCACACTGATCGTCTGCAGTTGGAGTTAAGTCCTTTCCTCACCCCTTCCCGCGCTCCTCGACCTCGACCTCGACCTCGACCTCAGCCGCCAACACGCTCGCTATCGCTCGCGGTCGGCTATTACTACGAGCCGCTTACGTGGCTTGTCCAACAAACCTAATCTATCCCTCCGGGAGATAATACCTTTCTAACTAATAACTTTTTTATTTTTGGTCTCCGGTCCAAAAGTATGGTACCATCTAAACCTAAATATGTAATCTAACCTAACCGAAGCGCCTCCATTGGGGTTATCTAGTATACTTTGACCAATAAACTGGAAAAAATAATTACCTTCTTAACTTCTCGAACAGTTANCATATAATTCTTCATAAGTATTTTTTGCATATTGTAAAAAATATATAAATTTTATATACGATTTTAAAATATTACTCCTAATTTTTCCAATTATTAAGCATCTCGAGAAGCAAGTTTTAAAGGGTCTAAATAAATATGTTTATGAACAATTCCTTGTGACATTGTTAATACCATTCAGTAGAAAATTATCACCATATACTTATTAATAGTTATCTTTTCGGGTGCTGTTAGGGTTTTCTGCATATTATGCCAGTTAATCGACTAATTAATCAGGTGGCAATTTTACAAAATAATTGAGCATCAATTCATCAATTACGTGCGTATTAAATATAGAACAGCATATTAAATATTAAAAAATTTTAATTAACATTATAAACATTTTTTACTCACGTTCGAATAAAAACGTTTTTCCCCATCAAACACAATTATGTCATGCGCAATAGCGGAAACGTTTATTGCGCAATCGCGCGAGAAAAGCAGACGATGATCTAACTTCCGGATTTTCTGTTGATGTTCGGATCGAGGGTGGATATGTTCCTGTTTTAAAATCCACGTTCAAATATGGTAGATAAATTAGTCAAGCAATTTCTTAGTAAATTACGCTGCGAGAATACAGAAAGGCCGACATTGAGGCGTATTTGCGGTATTTTAGGAGGTCATTATCCCAATTCTCCATCGATGTCGCCTCAGCTGAAGGTAATTCCGGAAGAGCATCTTCGACTCGCCGAAAAGATTTGGGATTATATGTTACTCGGAAACACGCCGGTAAAGGTACGGATTTTTTTCTTTTTGTTTTTTTAATTTTTATTGAAATAATGACGTATTATTATAATATTTACTTTTTTAAATTACTCGCGGTTAAAATAAAGGCATCAAGGTAACGTTTTCAAAATGGAACAATAAGAAAGTTTGTTACAAATTTAAATTTTTGTGTCGAATTGCTCGATTGGACAATTTTTTAAAATTTTTGTTAATTAATGTTAATGTTAACTTGAATATAATTTTTTTTCTTAAAATTTTAATAGAATTTTTTAAATAAAAAATTTTGTTTAATTCTGTATAAATTAAAATACATTATAATATTTTAATTTTATATTTAAAAAAAAATCTATGAT